GATGGTATGGGGAAGGGTGAGGGGCCACATGAACCCCTGACACCAGTCACCGATTTAAAATACAGTGCCATACAAGGTCCTTGGCAGATAGATATATATATAAATATATATATATACACCCACTCTGTTACTCGGCTCTGTGAGATCATTTTTTTTTATTCTTATATGTTAGTAAATAATTGCATTATGTTATTCTTATCTTCCAGTTAAGGTTTTTCATTCCTTAAGTTAATCTGCATGCAATAATTGCAGAATTATCAGGAATTTAAAAGTTGTTTAAGTGCGGCTAAGCCTAATTTTTTTATCATAGCAGCCATATTTGTTTAGATTTGAAACTTAGCAATGTAGTGGTTTTGTTGCCAATTTGGCGAAACTAAGTTTCGCAACAACAAAGATAACGTCTTCTTTTAATATTGCGAATTAAATAATGCTTAACCCATTTTGGAATTATCATTTAAATTGTTAAATTATCCCATATGTTGATTCAGCATAACGTCCACTACAAATTAAGTCAGCTTCTACGCCTTTTTGTGTCTTTTTTCCGAGTGGGGCCAAAAGGAAACTGTTAGTTTTGTGCATCGAAAAACCTGCCTTCTTTGCTTGCTGGCCGAATTCCTTGTTTGAAGTTTTTGAAAATCTAATTTTAATTGTAAAAATTGTTTTTGAAGTGTTTTATGTTTTTCTATAGCTTTCAATTTTTAATGAAGATATTCTGAGTTTTCATGTATTTTGCCCTTGCCGCGAAATGAAAACTGAATTAATTGAATTGGAAATATATCTCTACAGAAATTTGAGGAAATAAGTGTTTGTATTAGCGGCAAATATTGTCGCCAGTCTGACTCGGACAATATTTGCCGCTAATACAAACGAGTAGCGCATGCGCATTAGGTAAGCGGCGCTGAATCATCTGTGAAAAACTTTTTCTTTTTTATTTGTTTAATTTTTTTTATATATCGTTTTAGATTCATTATAGTATTTGAAAAGAACATGTGGCAACGATTAGATAATTCTTCAGGTGATATAATTTTGTGCAGTCTGAGTTAAAATAAATGAGATGTAACGCTGTTAAGCGAACCTAGCGCCAGAGTGTCGCTATGTTAAATAAATATGGTGAATTTTACAGAGCGCATTTATTCTATTGTGGTTTATGCGCTATCAACGAAGTATAATTCAATAAGTTTAAAAGAAGTGCAGGAAAAATTGCGCATAATTTAATATTCCGGAAGGTAGACCACACTCTATTTTTTATCCTTTAAATACTATCTTCTTTCTACCATATTTGAATATCATGCGAGCTAAAAAGTTACATTCTGAGAGAAAAATGGAAATTAGGAGGATAGGAAAGTTCATCCATATAACATAAGTGAATAAAAATTAAACCGATGATGCAAACAGTAATATTGTGAGCATATTAAATTAATCTTTAAACGAAGATATGCGTAAAATTCATTTCAACATTAGATTTAAGAAATGATCTAAATCGAGTTTAGAGGGGGGGGGGAAATGCTTCACCACTTTATATTGCCATCCACAAAGAGTATGTGTGCAAAATCTGAGCGCAATAGCTTGTAAATAAACGGTTTAAAAATTGACGGCAAAGTTTTATCCTCAGTGGACCACCATGAATGAGTTAAATAACAGCTTATAAAATAAAATAAAAAATAGTGAGTAACGTTGAGATAGGTTTCTGTCAGGGTTAAAAAGGTTAAAAAGAAGGGCTAATGTCATTCCTTTGAGTGACCTCTCGCCGACGCGATCATCGTAAGGGGGTTAATAGGAAGTAGTCTGACGTCACTATGTTGCATCAGCTCTGACTTCGCCTGTTTAAAACAGTAGTCATTCTGCTGCGAAGCAATATTTTAGCAAAGTAGACATCTCAAATTAATTTTAATGACATACATTTGTTTTTTAGTAAAGCAGTAAGTCAAACTGGCGGTCCATGGGCTGCATGCGACCTTTGAAATAATTTTGTACGGCCCGCGAATGCATTTCCAGTAAATTAATTAGCATTATTATGACAAGAATATGAAGAAAACGTTTAAGATTTTAATGGTTTTATGTCCAGGTTTACATTATTTTCATTACCAAAAAGGAATGTACCTCATCGGGAAATCTAGAAATAGAGCTAATTAATTTGCAATGTGATATACATCTTATTCAAAGATCTGCAGATAAAAATTTGATTAACTTTTATTTAACTTTTATTAGCACTTGTAAAAAGATAAGTATCTTCGTTAAGAATTTTTGCTATATGAACACTTGCTTTGCTTTTCAGTATGTATACATAAGAACAGTTTTTTTTTTTTTTTTTTTTTTCCCGTAGTTAAAAATTAAAAGAACCGATGAGTATCTCCAGTTTGTGTTTATACTTTCTAGTAATTTACATCCAAGATTATAAATTTCATCAAAATCAAAACGTCGTGAAGTGTTGTAGTTGAAAGTTGCAGTAAAAAACAAAGGATGTTTACAATAATTTACATACAAATATTTTTTTTCTGTTTGTGTCATAGAAAAATCTAATAAATATAAGGAAGAAAATAGATTGTCGTTATTTATTCTCAAGTTTTATCCCTGCTGGGAAGCCTCCGTATATTTCTTTTTAGTTTAAATTAAAAGTTATTTAGTAGTTACAGCAATCTATTAAAAATAGTCTGAATCTTTAATTAATCTAAATTAATCTGAATATTTTAATATTTAGCTGTCTGTTTGAATTCCAAATTGTGATCAACAGAAATTCCTTGCAGATTCCAACCTCTAGATTTCAGCAAAATATAAGTATAAATTTGATATTTTTCTCAGCGTTATTTTAATTTGTATGTTTTAATAACTATCTAGTAAAACGTTTTTAGTCACCCAGACGGTATAGTGGTTAGGGAAGCCTACTACGGTACCGAAGGGCCCGGGTAAGATATGTTATATGGATGTTTGTAAATCTATAGTGTCGTTGCGGCATGGCGGCACTCTGAATATGCGGCGAGCCGAAAATCCTCTCGTGTGGATTGGTGGGTTGGGAGACCCCTGGATACCCCCGCCCGTGATGCTTTTCCTCAAAATTGGGGATGGAAAAGTCTAACTTCTCTTCGCAGTAGTCTAACTTCTAGAAGAAGTCTAACTTCTCTTCGCAGTAGACTCTGACAATCATTGTTCCATGAAATATGTGAACACGACAACAACAACTACAAAAAGTTTTTAATTTATTGAAAAACCTTGTTTTGTTAAAAAAAAAGATCTCACCACTTCTTTTTTTAATAATTGATGCCCCTCAGCAACTTTCAAATTGTGCATTGGCCCGTGTGCAATGTCAGTTTGAAACTGCTATTGTAAAATATCGTTTATGTAATACGTCTTCTTGTATTCTAGCAAAGTGCCATAAAAGTTTTTGGAAATGAGAAAGATAGAGACAATGTGTTTCATATTTTTCCAAAGGACAATTTGCTTTTGGGAAAAATAATGGATACATCTGTCGAAGACAGGATTTGATTAATACGAAGAACGCAAGAATTGTCAGGAAACATATTCTATGCAGTGATTGTGAAGATAAAATGAAAAATCGCTTACTTGGATTACCGCAAAAGAAACTCTTAAAATCCAATATTGTGCCGAAAAAAGAAAAATAATGAACAGTGCTTTTTAAAGACTACAGTAATTAAATTTAAAGAAAATTAATTTTGAAGCCGATTACGGAATGGAGGATAGAAAAAATAAATCAAATATGAATGATTTTAAATAGAACTCGCAAATGACGATGTAAATATATTGCTGAATGCCCTAAATGTAAAAATAATTAAAAATAAAGCTGGCTCAGCATTGTAGGTAATTCATAATCGTAAAAAAAAAAAAAAAAAACCACTATCCTTTCTCTTGTCTCTCTTTTGAAAGATTAAGTAATTCTCTTTAGATACTGTGAGCAAAGTTCTTTAGTCAAACTTAAGACAACGATCTTGTATTTATTTGTCTAGAAGTGAGTATAAGTTAGGCAATTATTTAAAAAATATCTGTTATTATATTAAATCGGAAGGGAAACACGCCAATGTAAAACTTATAATTAGGTCAAAAGAGTAATCTTAGATTAGATTAAATTTTGAATAAAACTATCGATTTCAAAGGCAATCAAACATAAGTTCCTCTTCTTTAGCTGCAGAAATGAAAAAACTGACATATGTATTCAAAACTACAGCAATCTAGATCGTCTTTTTTCCCTAATTTTAAAAAAAAGCTGTTATGATTATTTTAGAAAGAGTAATAGAACTCACTCAGTATGCAGATGAAGAAAAGACAGTGAATCCCATAGTTTTTTCCTTTCACGACTTAATGATAAATATACAGGGAAGAAAACCTATAACTTTTTAAAAAAACGAAGCTGTAGTCTATTTCTATCTGTTATTTTAAAATTAAAATAAGTATTACTAACTTTTTAAATGTTACAAATTTATGCAGAATAACATCTTCTTTACTAAATTGTGGCTATTTTATAAGGTACAGTTTTTTAAGACTTTTTTTCAAATTTAAAACGATAATTTCTTTGTTTTTTGTAGGACTACGTCATCACTCCATACTTCCTATTTCAGGGGCAAAAGCTCTATGAACCAGTCCTTCTCTTCTAAGTCCTGGTTTTCAGTATTTAAGCATCTAACAGAGTACTCGATACTACTTACATAGATAAAAAATCATATATAAATATTTATAAGCAAAGGAGAATTTTAAAATTGGATTTTCCTCGCTATATTTTTTTCACAAGACCATCTAAAGAAACACCCCCTTTTCTTCGAGTATCCTTGCATTAATTCGTATAAAAGCGTTCTTTTATTGTTGATTTAATGATATTAAACTTTAGCATCTAATCGACTGCCATCACATTTATTGATATGTTTTGTTTCTAAAAGCTTCTGTGTCAGTAATTGTACAGTAGCTGACCTTCGAGTGGCCTTCGTTCGCTATCGCGTTTGCCGTCACACGCTCGCATAGTTAGAGATAATTGAACGCATGCTGAAGTTCTGTTTTTCATACTTGTTGCTTTCAGTAGATTGTGAACAGAGGGATAAATAGAAAGTCCTCTTCTAAGTGTTGTTGTGAACATGGAGGCGACAAATTTCATACTCGGGCCTCTCATAGCCACATTTTTGGCTGCATTTGCAGTCATATTTTTTTTGTATAGGTAAGTAAATCTAAGTTTTTATTAAATGCAACAGCTTTTTTACATTTTGCATAAAGCGATTCAATATTGAGTGCTTAAATCTTGAATAAACATGACAGTAAACTGCCGAATAAATATCGCTTAACAACATTCTGCAATAACAAAAGCGAGAAACAATTGTTTTCTCCTAACATGTGGAATTTTCGTTTAAAGGGAAAATGCATTGAAATATGTTAAGTGTACTTTACTTTGAAGTACGGTATGTTTCGCTAAAAGCGAAAAATACGTTACTTAATTATTAATTTATTAACTTACGTAAGGCGTTTTGAATTAAATTATTAAGTAAAGTATTGATAAAAGATAGCTTAATTATGAATTAAGTAACGTATCAGTAATTTTTTAAAGAATATAAATTGAATCTTTTAGTTAGAACGCTTAATTCTAAAATAGAAAAAAATTAAAATGCGCCCACATTCAAAATTTTCCTAATTTTAAATTCCTAAATCTATTGTATCTAATATGGGCAGCCACTTTGTTATATCCAAAACCACGTATAAAACCCAGCTTTATAACCGAGGCTTACTTTATTGCATTTTGCAAAAAGAATTAAGGACTTTGAAATTAAAAAATCTGATGTGTACACCACATGACTTCCTTGTACGGAATATTACATTATACCCATTTTTTACTTCATTTCGTTTAAACTTAATTTCTAGAATTTCATTAGAGATATATTTCTCATTCAATTAATTCAGTTCTCACTTTGCGGCAAAGAAAAAATACATGAAACCTCAAAATATCTTTATTTTAAATTAAATATAGAAAACATAAAAAGTTGAAAAATGTGATTTTATAAAATTACGCCCAAGGGGGCTTTTTTAACGTTTTGTGTGTTACCTTTATTTATTAAATATCATGTTCTTCGCACTTAAAATATAAAATTCAATTTAACAGCAAAATCCCCCCCCCCCAAAGGAAAAAATATGTCACATAAAAGAATTAAATGTGAGTCTCGCATGAAGACCACGTCGTCCAAGTTTTTCTAATTTTTATTCACAACACATCTCATACATAAACATATTAGATTGATATTGAAATATAAGTCAAGTATAATTAATCAGATAATCCCAGAAAAAGAATTAACTAACCTAGTAAGCAAAAAATATCCGTTATGTTCCGAATTTCAAATATCTGTTTGCATAAACATTTATCGCAAGGCCTATGGAGAAAAAGATATACTATTGCAAACGCACAATCGCCAAAGCTCATATGATCATGTTATTTTCAACAAATTCAGAAGTGAATCGGTGCAAAATGCCAAAATTATATTAATACCCTTCTGGGCAAATTGCCCCTTTGGGCTAACGCAAAAACAAGCAATTCGGCCAGCGGGCAAGAAGGTAGATTTTTCGGTGCACAAAATTAAAAGTTTGCTTTTGGTCACACTCGGCAGAAAGACACTGAATGTACCATCACTATTCTGCTAAGTTTCAAATGTAAACAAATATGGCCGTTATAGTAAAAAAAAAAATTAGGCTTAGCTGCACTTAAACAATTTTTACATTGTCGATAATTCTACAACTATTGCATGCAGATTAACTAAAGGTATAAAAACCTTAACTGGCAGATAAGAACAATATAATTAAATCATTTGTAAAGCAATAAATGCAATGCAGTATTAACCAATATATAAGAATAAAAAAAAAATCTGATGTGTACACCACATTGACTTCCTTGCACAGAATGTTAAATTATACGCATTTTTTCTTGCATTTCATTTAAACTTATTGAACTGAATTAAATCTACTTCTTAGATTAAATGCATTCTTTAAAATTCTCTGTATTTATTTACCATAGCGACACTCTAAGCGCGAGGTTCAACTAACGGCGTTACATTGAATTCATTTTATAACTCAGAATACCCAAAAATTATATCATCTGTAGAATAAACAACTAAAAAAGAAACAGTTTTTCACAGACGATTCAGCGCCGCTTACCTAATGCGCATGCGCTATTCGTAAACATTCTCCTCTGTCCGAGACAGACTGGCGACAATGATTGCTGCTAATATGAATTTCATTAGCGATATATTTCTCATTAAATAAATGCAATTCTTACTTCGCGGCAAGGCAAAAATACATCAAAATTCAAAATATTTTCATTAAATTTGAAAGCTATAGAAAAACAGAAAACACCAAATACGGCTAAAACAATTAAAAAATCAATTTTTACTATTAAAATTAGAGATTCTGTGCAAAAACAAACAATTCGGCCAGCAGCAAGAAGGCAGATTTTTCGGTGCCGAAACTAAAAGTTAACTCTTGGTCTCACTCGGCCAAAAAGACACTGAAGGTGCAGAAAGACTTAAATCACTTCACTATTCTGCTAAGTTTCAAATGTTAAAAAATATGTCTGCTATGGTAAGAAAAATTGGGCTTAGCCGCATGCAACTTCTAAATTGTTGATAATTCTACAACTATTGCATGCAAATTATTTAAAGGCATAAAAACTTTATCAGGAAGATAAGAACAACATAATTCAATCATTTTTAAAGCAAAAAAATGCACAATTTACAAGCATATAAGAATAAAGAAACTGAGCTCACTCAGCCGAGTTACAGAGTGGATAATATATGTATATGTATATATATATATATATACATATCATTTATATGCTTTTGGTTACAGAGTGGATACAGAGTGGGATAATATATATATATATACATATCATTTATATGCTTTTGGTTACAGAGTGGATAATATATATATATATATATATATATATATATATTCATTTATATGCTTTTGGTGTGCGGCCGATTGCAACCAAAATGGGAGGTGCACATCTACACGTTATAGCAGGCTTATATACAAAATTTCAACGCTATGGGGCTACTCTTTTTTGAGTTATGTGATACATACATACGTACGTACAGGGGCCACTAAAAAGTTACTTCTGAATCCATTTTAAATTAGTTTTATAATTCTTTAAAAGAGTCCTTTATTATGTCCTTGCGCACAAATGTTACGCAAAAACATTGTTAAATTGTGTTCAATAGCGGAGAAGAAAAAAAAAAAAAAAAAAAAAAAATGAATATTTTCGTTGGAATATGATACCTGGAATTTTGCGTTTACTTATTACAAGAAAGTAAAAATGAAATAATTTTTTTGAACTAAATATCACCTTTTGAATACGAATGTATAATTTGAATTCTAATATTTTCTTTTGTTTAAAAGTTACGGCAGAATTAGTGTTACTTCTAAGAAGTTTAACCAATGTTTTTCGCATACTTTTAGGATTCAGCATAATTGAAGTGAAGAAATAAAATAAGTTTTTTCTAACTTTCACTTTCCGAACGTGGTCATGCGTTTTGTTTTCTAAGATTTGCTCTTGCTTAAATGTTAAAGCAAAAGTCGTGTTACATTTTAACACCCATAAGGAATGTTTTTGTTCTAATTTTGAGAGTAGTTCGGGATTCATATTTTTCTGCAATAAAAATCTTGTCTGCAAACGAGGTATTGTCTGCGAACGAGATGTTGTCTGCAAAGAGTTGTAAGACTGTGGGGTAAATGAACTGCTTGAACTGCTTGTTGGTGAAGAGGAGTGGTGCCAGCGAGGATCTTTAATGCTGCTTTTGGACGTTGTGCGGTACAAAGATTTGATATTACGGTACACCAACCTACTTTAAGGCTGGAACTCTTTCTGATTTGGTGTAAAACTACCATAGCTCTTATTTGGCTTGACATGTATTTTTACAACATTCATAATACGCTCATTAATGCATGGAAATCGGTAAAGACTACGCTAGAAGATATAGAAAAGTTTAAAACGCAGAATGTGAATAAAATATACATGTTATTGAACATTAATGGATAAGTACAGTATTAGTATGAGGGAAGGTGTTGGTCTTGTGATTGTCTCTTCAAAATAGCACTGTGTATTTAATTATGGCAAAGCACACTAGGGCTATCTGCCTAAGGGGAGGGATGCCTTCGTAGAGTACTTTCTAAGGAAAACTGGCTCGTATACACGTTACACATGGAAAACCACGAAAACACCCATGCAGCCAGCCCGTTCGCGGGATTCAAACCTCGACCCGAACTACCAGTGTTCAGCGACTTTACCGCTCGGCCGCTGGTGGGCCCAGCTCTGAAAGAAAGTTCAGGCACACGAAATCCACAAATCGGCCAATGGGCAGAAAGACTAGCAAGCGATGCACCCCCAAACAGGCAGAGCTTCTTTTTCCAACGTGCTTGAAGTCCTGATGCAGAAAACCTTCAAGCTCAGAGTTGATGCAAATCACACACTAAGGCTATATGCAATACAAAAGCGTTAATTATGTTTCCAGTTTCACTAAAAATCAAAAATACTAAGTCAGACTAAATGGAATATCACTTAAATTACATTTAACGCACAATATTCTAACTCAAATAAACTTAGAAGTACAGAATAAGAGCATAAACTAAAAAGCTCTTGCATGCAACACCCACCGCGTCATATACAGAACTCGACACATTTTATGTAGCTGGGCACCCCTGCACTTTATCCCTCCCTGTGCGACAGTTGTTGCAGGGGCGCTCTTTTTGCCTTCTGATTGCACTAATCTTAGCGAATGATTATTCCAAAAATTTTTCAACTAAAGTAGCGGGAGAAGAATCGAGAAGTCGCAAAAAGTAGCACATGACGTCACGCATGTTGTTTTTGTGACGTCATAGTTACGTTTATTCAGATGACCTCTGACGTCATCCCAATTCGGTCCCCATTGGTTTAAATCGATTCTTAGTAGTTTTAATTATATATCTTAATTTGACGAATATTTTAAAACTATATTGCTAATTTTCCATTTTTTAAATAACTTTAATTTTTTAAAATTAAATCTCAGTTAAATTAGGTTTTCTTTGAAGGTAACGGAAATTTTCCGCAAAGAAAACATTTTTAATTAATTTAGGAAAAAAAATGAAAGCAGTAACTTTAGTGCGGGAAGTAATCACCACAAAAATCTATGATTTTCTGCCAACGTT